CTCCTCCTTCTCCTTCTCCTGCTCCGCTCAGCTCTGAGCTCAACCCAAAAGCCGGGGTGGTGAAGGGTTCCCAGGGGGCCGGGGTTGAGGTTTGTGTGTCCTTATCTCGCCCTGCAGCTTCCTCTCCACCTCCAACGAGGCTGTTTACAAGGTGTTCAATGAGTCCACGTGCCCATTCGCGGGGCAGAGCTGCAGCCCCGAGGTGAGGGCAGCTCAAATGGGTCACCCAGGCCCAGCACGGGCTGGGTTGGAGGGACCTTAAAGCTCCTTGTCCAGATCCAACCCCTGGAGCACCAGGGGCGCTTTCCAGAGAGCAGGTTGCTCCAGCCTGGCCTTGGACAGGGATGGGGCAGCCAAACCTTCTCCCTTCACCCCATCCCAGTGTCACAGCATCCCAGGGAAGAGCTTCTGCCTCAGATCCCATCTCCACCTCCCCAATGGCAGCTTGAACCCATTCCCCTTGTCCTGTCCCTCCATCCCTTGCCCAAACCCCTCTCCAGGTTCCTTGTAGCCCCTTTAGGCGCTGGAGAGCTGCAGATGGCAAGTCCAGCGTCAAAGCTGATGGTGGCTCCTCCACCTCACATTGCTCCCACCGAGCCCATGTTACCACCACACGGAGCAGGAGAACCTCTTCCCAATGTCACCATCACCTTGGGTTGACCCAAAGCTGCTGCTGCTTTGGCCACCACGGTGCGAGAACCTGTGTTGTCCTCTCCAGACCTTCAACACGAGCAACGTCACGAAGCTGTGCCCTGATGCCCAGTGTCTCTTCGCGTTCTATGGGGGTGAGACGACCTATCACAGGTACCTCGTCGTGCTCCAGTTCTTCAACCTCTTCATGTTCTTCTGGCTCGTCAACTTCGTGCTTGCGCTGGGCCAAGTGACGCTGGCCGGAGCCTTCGCATCCTACTACTGGGCCTTCAAGAAGCCCGATGACATTCCCGCCTTCCCGCTCTTCTCCGCCTTCGGCCGCGCGCTCCGGTATGTCCCCGCTCCGGGATGACCTGGGAGCTCGTGGGGGTTGTCCCGTTGTCCCGTTCCTAAGCAGAGGGATGTCCCGCAGGTACCATACCGGCTCGCTCGCCTTCGGCTCCCTCATCCTCGCCGTTGTCCAAGTCATCAGGGTCATTCTGGAGTACCTGGACCACAGGTTGAAAGGTGCAGAAGGGAACAAGTGGATGGATGGGTCCAAGGGGACGGGAGCATCGGTGTTGCGGGAGAGGATGGTGGGATGCGGCCCCGCGCCCTGGTATCCATCGGGAAGTCCATGTCTTGGCTGTAGGACTCTATTGACCACCCAATGCCAACAAGCGTGGGTTCACGGGGGTGCACCCATGAGGCTCATCCCACCGCCTCGGGGACCATGGGCTGTAGGGGTGGAGGCAGCAACGGGGACCTTCAACTTGCTCCTGTAAGAGAAGGTGCTCACCCACTCCCATGTGTCCCTCCAGCCGCAGACAACAAGGTTGCCAAGTTCCTCCTGGGCTGCCTCAAATGCTGCTTCTGGTGCCTGGAGAAGTTCATCAAGTTCCTCAACAGAAACGCTTACATCATGGTGAGAGGCCCCAAAGGGTCGTGCCTACAAGGGGGGGGCATCTCGGGGCCCTTGGAGGTGTCTTTGGGTGGCTGTTGGGAACCGTGCCCCCTGTTGTCAAGGGGGCTGGAACTGGATCATCTTAAGGCCCTTTCCAGCCCATTCCATGTCATGGGAAAACAAAGCTTTCCAGTGTTCAGCCGCACTTGGACACTGGGAAGGAGCTTCTCCGAGGTGCTGGGTTGAGGGAGCTGTGAGTGGCTGAGGAAGGGTGGGATTTGCTTGCAGATGGGGCAACCTGCTCCAGCTCAGCTCCATTTCCCTCTTCTCTGCCCCTTTGTCCTGGTGTCCCCCCCCCCAGATCGCCATCTACGGCACCAACTTCTGCACCTCTGCCCGCAATGCCTTCTTACTGCTGATGAGGAACATCATCAGGTGGGTGCTGGTGGGTGCTGCTCTCGGGTGGGAGCGAGCGGGCGTGGAGGCTCATCCCTCTCCCCTTCCCAGGGTGGCTGTGCTGGATAAAGTCACGGATTTCCTCTTCTTCCTCGGCAAACTCCTCGTCGTGGGAAGCGTCGGTAAGAGGGGAAGTTCCTCTTTTCCCAGCCGCTTCCACCATGGAATTGGTCCTTTCCATCCCCTTCTGCACCTTCCAAGCCAGTCAATCCCATGGGCGCCTCCATCCTTCTGCTTCCCCAGGAATTCTCGCCTTCTTCTTCTTCACCCACCGGATAAAGCTGGTCCAGGACACGGCACCGTCCCTCAATTACTACTGGGTCCCTATTCTGGTGAGCTCCTTCCCAACCCCACCAGAGCAGCGGGAAGGTGCCCAATTCCCATCAGCTCCCTGAAGGACCTGCTTTGTTGAGGGTGTTTTCTCCCTCCCCGATGAAACAAGCCCTTTGTCCCTCGCCCTCCCCGCGCTGCCCTGTTGTGTTGTGCTCCTGCCCCGCTTCCTCCCCTCCTTTCCCTGGGGAATGCGGGATCGGCAGGTTCCCTTCGCGTGGGCGCCAGGGAACGCCGTGACCACACGATCCCTCTTGCAGACGGTGATCGTGGGCTCCTACCTCATTGCCCACGGGTTCTTCAGCGTCTACGGCATGTGCGTGGACACCCTCTTCCTCTGCTTCTGTAAGTACCATCCTCAGGGGCCC